ATGGAATTTAGTTTTTAAATTTTCAGGACCCTCTTGGATAATGGGATTTAATTTTAAGTTTTAGCGTAAGTTTTACCTTTAGAAAATATAATTTAGCTTTAAAGTTATCACTCTTAAGATGAGATTTAATTCGATTAACAATCACAAATATGCCCAGATCCCAAACTGGGGCAAAATATTTCTTTTGTTTTGACCGTTTTGGCAATCAGGCGCCCACCTGGATAATGAGGGAATATAGATTCGAGTTTTGGAAATCAGGCGCCCACCTGGATAACGAGGGAATATAGTTCAAGTTTGGGCAATCAGGCGCCCACTTGGATAACGAGGGAATACGTTTCAAGTTTTAGCAATCAGGCGCCCACCTGGATAACGAGGGAATACAATTCGAGTTTTGGAAATCAGGCGCCCACCTGGATAACGAGGGAATACAATTCAAGTTTTTGGCAATCAGGCACCCACCTGGATAACGAGGGAATACAATCCAAATTGTCCATAATCAGGCACCCACCTGGAGAATGAGGGAAGATATTTCAAGTTCAAGTCATTGGCAGGCACCCACCTGGAGAATGAAGGAATTCATTTCAAGTTTCAAGTTGGTCGCAGGCGCCCACCTGGAGAACAAGGGGAGTTACTTTCAATTCGCAAATTCAAGAAGCATCAAGAGCCCGCCTGAAGAACAGGGTCCATTTTTCAGTCTCATGTTGAAGATCAAGTAGAGATTCAAGACAAGAAGTATATAGGATCTTTTATTTTTCTTTTACTTTGCTGTAATGTTTCCTTTTATTTTCGATGTAATGGCAGGAACCGCGGATCGGAACCTCAACGGCACTCGATCGGCTCTCCACCCCAGTACACTTAATCACCTCATTCACTTCTGAACTACACGTGACCTGATTCCTTTATAGCGAAGGATATGTAGGCAGCTCAGATACCAAAGCTCGGTCACATTCTCATCTCTTTTAGATTTTGGTCTCTCTAAATAAGGGTGGGGTCAAAAAACCTGTCTCGTCATTCTTTGTCTGAAAATACTTCGTATTTTCAGTCAAAGAGGGGCAGCTGTAGACATGTGATTTTTGACCCTCCCCAAGATTTTACATGTTTTAGCCTTTAGATATTTAGTTTAGGCCTAATATCGTTATTTTACCTAGTTTTAACTATTTTACTTTATTTTGTAACAAAAATAAATGAAAATTACAAAAATATTTTAGTTTACATATCTTTTATAAATTTAAATAAAAAATATACAAAAATAGTATCTCATTTTAATTTTTATATAATCTTGAAAACACAAAAATAGTTTCATGTTTTAATATAGTTTAATTTAATTAATTAGAATTATTTTTTGCATTATGTAGTATTTTTATATTAAAGGAGTCAATTAAGGTGTTGGACCACAATTTTAGGAGTCTTAGAACCTAATTTTTAGCCCATAACAATCCAAGCCCAATACCCTAAAACCCTAAACCTATAAAAAGAAGCTAACCTAAAATGGCTAGGGGACCTACGCCTAAGGAGCAAAAACCTGTACACTAGAAAGAAAAGGAAGCAGCGCTGCAGAATTTGAGGGATCCATGGCTGCCTGTTTCTTCTTCTTCAACTAGACAAATAACAAGAAAAACCTTAGACCTAGCATCTCTAAGACCAAAGACCAGCCCTTCGAACAAAAAAAAAAGACTTTCAAGCTATCTTCTTCTTCAAAGCAGCACCATTACAGGAGAACCGTCAACTTTGACCACCAGAAGTCGCCAGGTTCTCCTCCTCTCGCCAAGGCAGTGACGAGCTCGCCGGTAAACATTAACACACATATAAACACAAAGAAACGAGAAAGGATATTTTCTGGGTTGAAAATTGGATTCGAATTGCTTTTTCGTTTCTGTTTTCAATGTCGGGTTTTGGCTAAAAAAAAAGAAGAGAAAATCGAGTTGAAAAGAATCTGTTCATTTTCCGATTCCAGAGCTTGGAGCTTGAGAATGAATTTTTCTTTAAGTGTTGGAGTTGGGTTTGAATCCGATTGAGGTGCGGTCAAGAGGTTTTCCGGTCGCCGTTCCATTTTCTATCATTGTTCACTGCTCCGGTCGAGTTCTCGTCGCCAGATTCTGGGAGATTCTATTATTGGAAAAAGCCCATTAAAGGTCTATTCTCTTTTCTATCTTACTCTATACTTTGGGATGAATTAAGGTTTGATTTGTTGCCTGATTTATGTTATTTTGTGATGCTCTATGTCTTGAATGGGTTAAAGTTGATTTGCTATCTTATTCTTGTTCCTTTGGTTTGACTATTCTGCCAGTAACCCCATGTTGGCTTGGAAGAAGAGACGAGATTTAGTTTTTTAAATCTAATTCAACCTTAGATGAGACTCCAAATTAAAAGTAAGACTTGGATTTAAATCATTTTTTAAGAAATAAGTAGGCCGTAGGGATTTGGAAATGGTTGATGAATTTCAAGAGTTGATAGAGGGATTCGGGATTAAATGTGAATGACAATTTAGATTTAGAATATTTTATTATTGCTTTTATTTATCGTTTTTCGTTAGAAGCATGCTTAGCCCGTCATCACTTGGGTAGACAAACCTTAGGTTTTATCTCATTTCTATTTGAGGCGAGAGGTCGTTTTTTTAGTTTATTATTCGGGGAATGCCTTGTAGGATTTGTTTATATTTTTATCCGGGGTATGCCCCGAAGTATTTGTATTTGGAGGCGGAAAGTAGAACTCTTAATATTTTTATTTTTATTTTCATTTTTCATTTTTCTTATATTAGCTGGGGACGACCTTGAGACTCTTGTGTGTTTGTTTTTCTTTTCTGTGTTTAGTTTTACCTCAACTTTAATATTTTAAAAGCCAACTAGATCGAGTACGCAACCGTAATTTTCACGGGACTTGGGGAGTGCCTAACACCTTCTCCCCGAGTCAAATGAACCCCCTTACCCGAATCTTTGGTGTAGACTTAGTTTTTAGAGTCTATAGTGTTTTGAAAGGAAAAAAATTATTTTTAGAAAAAACGGTGACCTGACACACTGAAATCAAATGTCAGGTGGCGACTCTGAGTTAATCCTTTTGAACACATAATTTTGTCACTTTTCGGATTGAAAACCTTTTTCAAGTTTTACTAAATCTTTTTATTAATTTAAGAGGGTTAGTGAAGTTTGTAAAAAGGGGTGTGACAATATGGAGAAGATGAAAGAGAAGGAAAAGAAGTGGAAGAGTAAATTATCTAAGTCAAAGGCTAGGGAAAATGTACTTTGGTTCATTATATTGGGGATATGTATTATTCTTGTTGCTTGTGGGTATCCAGGAATCTCATTGAAAGAAGATGCAATGAGGTTGCCATTGTGAATCTAGTTTTGTCATCTCAATATGAATGTAGATGTTGCTTGTAGGTTTTATTTTGTATGTTTACAATGGACCTTTGATTTGAATGTAAGCCTTTTGTAGTTTTGTCATTTCAATATTTTGTAGTATTCTCATCTCAATATGTATATGTTGTTGTTACTTATCAATTATTGTTTCTAAAGAAGCGCTGTTTTTATATTGGGAAGTAAACTTCATACTACATAAACTTCAGAAATTGGCAATCAACAATAGACACACAACAGTACTAAGTTTCCTTGTCACCAACCAAAGTATTTCATTTCCTGGCAAACACACATACTATCAACTTGTACAACTCATAGATCACCAAAACATCATATATGCATTTGTTGCATAAAGTCACAAAATGAGTTAACAAAACAGCTGTTTGTTGTCATTGTAGCAGCAGCAAAACAGACACCAAATCTAACAATACAGAATAGCAGCAGCGAAATGCAGTCTATGGCTACCTAAAAATCCTTATCAAAATACAGGTGCAGTCTATAGCTGCTTAAAATTTTAGCATAATGCAGTCTATTACAATACAGTCATCAACAAAATCATAGCTTCATCAACTGGATTGATTTGCAGTGGTGCTTTCCTGGCTCAACTTAGCAGCCCTAGACCTTGTTTGAATGAGCTTCTTGCCTCTCAATTGTTGAAGCTGCCTTGATGTCAGTGTTGGTTGATGTCCTAGATCTCCAGTTACTTCTGCCGAGGACCTCACATTCTTAAAGTTTGTAAATGACATTCCAGACTGCCAAAACCCAACAGAAAATCATACAAATGAAATCACCTAAATATGAGAGTTTGTGTTAGACTTACATTTTGAATTTTGAAGCCACTTTGAGTGTGTAAAACTCCCATCCCAACCATCCTTGGTTGTGTTCTTACATCAGTGCTAGTACCAACATCCTACATGAAATAATCAAAAGTAAAAATCTGGTAATTATTTAAAAAAGAGAAAGAAGACATTAAAGGGAAGAACTTCACCTTTTCTTTAGAACCTTTTGGCCTACCCCTTCCTCTTCTAGTACTTTGCTTTGGTGGCTTTGAACTACCAACACTTGTAGGCACATAACTTGCTGAAGTTGCAGCAGTATTACTTCTAGCATCCTTTGCATAGCCCCTCTTGTTATGACCCTTGTTATGACAATTGCTACATGTCATTTCCACTCCACTTTTGGACAATTTTCCTGTTTTATTTTCACCAGGCTCTTTTCTTCTAATCTTCTTTGGCCTTCCAGGCATTTTCTTGACATGAGGTGGTATAACAGTTGGGTTTTGTGACTTTGGCCATATATTCATACCCAAGACAGGCTGAAAAAAGTAACTGTATGTTTTCATGTAAGTGGCATTACTGAACCAGTGAGAAATATAGTTCATAGGCTCCAAATTTTTATAATGCAGGGCAGCAACTGCATGAGCACATGCTATTTCACTTCACTTGCACCTGATCCTTGCTTCACTTCAAATCCATGCTCACCATTCCAGAAAATGTTACATTTCATTGACCTTTCTGTGTTCTCTTCCAAGACTTTCATGGCCATTGGTGAAAAATCAGTAATCCAAGTGTTTCCAAACTGTCTGAGCTGACCTATTTTGTTCATCATCTTCACCCTTATTTCTTCAAGCATTGTCACTATAGTCTTCTACCTTGCTGCCATAATCCAAGCATTGAAACATTCTGCCATATTATTGTCAACACTATCAGACTTGTAGAATATGTTGAAATACACCTTACTCCATCTTTCAATGTTGTAATACAACAGTGCATCAACTATCTTAGTCGTCAATTTCTTCATGTCATCCAGATTTTTCTTCAACTCCCACTCATAGGTAGACCTTGCACACCTCCAAAAGCAGTTTCTTCTCTTTATGCCCCTCCATTTCTTAGACCAGTTAGCTAGGATGTGCCTTGCACACATTCTATGTTCAGAATTTGGAAGTAGGTCTGCTATAGCATTCTCAAGCCCCTGGAAAATGAATAATGGTAGTTAGTTTTAAGTGAAATAGCAATAGAAAAATAACAATAAACTACAAGTGATTTCCTTTTGCATGTCTGTTATTATGGTCAGATTTGTACCATCTCCAAGCTGAAGATCACTCTTTAAAAGGTTGACAAACCACCTCCAAGTGTGCATATTTTCAATCTCAACAACAGCCCAAGCAAGTAGAAGCATCTGATTATTTCCATCTTTGCAAACTGCTACAAGTAGTTGGCCTCTACATACCCCTTCCATCCAATCCAATGCATGGCCTACAACCAGCTAAGTATGACTTCTTCATTGCATCAAAACAAATGTAGAGCCCAACAAACATTTTCTTCCCACCTTCAAAAGTTTCTTCACTAAGTTTCACTATATATGTACTCCCTGGATTAGATCTAAGCAACCAATCCCTATAATCTAAAATCCTGCCATACTCCAGTTTATGATCACCCATTATCTCATTCAACATAATATTTTTTGCCCTCCTACAAACTGTCCTCCCAACATATAATCCTAATTTCTTTCTAATCAACTCTTGAAACTTGAATATTCTAATGTTAGGTTGTTCTTTTATCCTCTCATTGAACCTTTTAGCCAAGAACTTTGAATTACATAACTTGTTTCTGTTAGTAGGGTCACATTTGTGAACTGGATTGTAGTTCTTGACTACAAAATCCTTAGTCCTAGAATCATAACTAGCAACTAGAAGCCAAGAACAAGATGCCTTCTTGAACTTAACTCTCACCTTTGTAGGTTCATTTACATACTTTTCTATAGAAACCTTTTGTTGAACAACATATTTAGTTACAGCTTCTCTGAAATCTCTCACACTTGCAATTTTCTTGCAAGTCTTGTCAAAGATTACTCTTCTTTTAATCTTTCTTCTTCTAGCTTTAACTTTCTGTTGAACCTCCCCTTCACCTTCATCATCAACATCATCTGGATCTGTCTCAAAACTAGCAGCTTCATCTGAGAGGTAATAAGGCTCATCACCACCTATCTTACCTTCTAAACTCTTCTTCTTCCTAGATTCATATTCATCATACCCCACGTCATACCCCAAAGTTGGTCGCCATTTTGATCAAACGGTCAAAAATGGAGACCAACGTTGGTCGCTATTTTGGTCAAACAGTCAAAAATAATTTGGCTACCAAAATAGCGACCAAGTTTTTAACATGAGCCAAAACGGGTTTCAGGTCCATTCTTTCAAAATTATTCCCCAAATTAAAATCTTTCTCCTCTAACACTCAAAATCTCTTCTCCCCTCCGACTTCCAGCAGCAGCGACACCCCCGCCACCGGCGACCCCTGACGGCAGCAGCAAATTCCGGCGACCTCCACTCCCAAGGTTANTTAACATGAGCCAAAACGGGTTTCAGGTCCATTCTTTCAAAATTATTCCCCAAATTAAAATCTTTCTCCT